CTGCAGTTTGAGTCCCAGTTTTGGCGGCTTAAAGCTCATGCCGGGTGCGTGTGCATACATGCCCAAAATCCTAAGAAAAGAATTGCAGTGTGGCCATACCCCCTGGGAGTGATTTCTCATTCTCTGTCTCTCTGGCAAGCATATGCATTTTATAGCAAAAATCTCTCAAAAATAAATAAATAAATAACTCAAATTAATATATTCTATAATTTATGAAGATAACTGGTAGCCTAATTTTGTTCAAATGGTACTTTTTTTGGACACCAAATGTTTAAGTAAGAATTGTTTAATGAAATTAGAAAGAATCCATAGTTCCTGGTACTTAACTATTCCTTCATGAATTTTACTAATGCTTGTACCAAAATAACTTGAAGATCTGATAGTGACTAGAGATTTTTAATGTTTCTTGGAAAATGAGTACATTGAACCAAAATCATACATGTCAGTTGCGTAGCGCTGTATCCATGGTTACAGTACAAACATAACACATGCAAAGGGGAAATGTCTTTTGGTGGTTGATAAGCTAAAAGGAAGTGAGTCTTATTGTATTACAATATTAGGAATGTTTTTAAACTTTCGTTCAAAGATGGAAGGTTTCATATCCTCCTGTATTACCGTTTGCTCAAGCATAATTAAGAGTATTATGGAAAAACCACATGTGTACTCATTGCCAAGACTCAGTGCATTGATGTCCTATAGAAAAAACATGATGCAGAGATACTTTTTGATGGTTTATTTAATTTTCTCTGTTATTGATAGTATTTGCTCTGAAGTATAACTCAATAAAGCGCTAACAGTTAAAAGGGGGAAAAATCTGTCTTAACCCAATATTATATTAAGTCCTATTCCCCACTTGAGAAAACTTACTTTATAACACGTATCAAACCAGCCTTAGAGACCATAATGTCCAATTGTGTCTGGTGTGTATTAGTTATTCAATAAATGTTTGATGAATCAATTAATGGACAGTATATAGTGGATTGTTGTGAAGAAAGCCATAGCAGTGGCTAAAATGTTGACTTGATCAGATTATGAACAGAACAGTAAAGAAGGGAGATGCCTGGGCTTCCATGCTAGTGCTGTGGCCTTGGGTAACCCATAACTAACCTGGGGCCTGGGTTTCATCATCACCTGCCCTAATTTTGGGTCAGACTGCATTGCTGCTCCTTGTACATGCTGCATGATTTCCCAACTCAGTGCCCTTGTCCTTACTATTTTCTCCCTAAAAGGCCCTTCCCCCATCTCTACATGATTAAACGGACCTAGCTGTGGCATCCTGTTACTCATGGGCCTTCTAGTACAAATAGTCCCTACCAAGCTTACTTTATGCCACCCAGCTAGAAGTTAACCTTATTCTGTGCTCTCTTGCAGCATCTTTTTTCTTTCCTTTTTTTTCTTCCTTTTGATATTTTATAAGATTTTTGCCATCAGGTGCATGTGCTCACTAGAGAGAGAGAGAGAGAGACAGAGAGACAGAGAAGTAGAGAAAATGAGAAATCACCACCCGGGAGATGGCCACACCACAGTCCCTTCTCCATAATCTTCTCGGGGTTTGGGGCATGCATGTATATGAACCAGTGTGTTTTTCAAGTCCAGGACTCGAACTGCATAGTCAGCTATGTGAGATATAGCACTTTAACCTCCATGCCATCTGCTGGGGAAGGAGCTTTTTTCTGTTAACTCATTAACTTTGTCTAGCTTATGGCCCCTTACGTAGATGTATAGTTGCATAAGCTGCCCTACACTGCTTCTCTGCTAGACTGTTACCTCATGAGGGCATAGTCCATACTTGCTTTATTTTTGTAGACCCCCAACTACGTAGCATAACACACTGAAGACTGTATGTGCTCAGTAACTATCCACTGAATCTGAAAATAGGACATAATAACGCTTTCCTTGCTGTGATAGAGGCCTGCGTCAGACAGTAGCGTGAGGCTATCTCCAGCTTTTAGACCAATGATTGTGGAACTCCGATAGGGCATGCTGGACATAAATAAGTACGGAAAATTGTATAAGCTATTTATCCACTAATGGGAGAAGAAAAGAGGATACTTGAGTGGCTTCCAACCCATTTTAGAAGCAGAGGGGAAGGGTGAGATTGATGATGCAAGAGTAGAAAGTGACAGGAGCAGTATAGGTTATTCCATTTTAGTCATTCAAAAGAGGTTTTTTTCTCGATGGTCTTTTTTGAAGACTACGTATACCTACGTACAGCTGGCATGTTATATACCTGGTTTTGAGAGTTTCCTTGAGGACTTGAGCCAAAGGTGAACTGCATTTTTAGAATACAGTTAAGGGTCCAGCAAATGGTGTGGAAGTCAAAGTGGCTATATCCCACATGGCCAACTGTGTGGTTCAAGTCAGACCCAGCAGCTTAAAAATCATGCTGGGTGCATGTGCATGTGTGCCCAAAGTCCCAAGAGAAGGATGGAGGTAAAGGAATTGCAGCATGACCATCCCTTCAGGGAGTGCTTTCTCACTTTCCTTCTCTGACTATCTCTGGCAAGTGCACGCGCCTTATAGCAAAACATAGAGAAAAAAATAAAGAATACAATGAATAATCTCAAGAACAGGGGACTAGCAGATGGCAGAATAGTTATGTGGCAGACTCCCATGTAATCGCCTTTAGTTCGAGTCCAGGACCCGACAGCTTAAAACTCATGTGGGATGAGTGTGTGTGCGCACACCCAGGATCCTGAGAGTAAAATGGTGGAGAAGGGATTGCAGCACGGTCATCCCCCTAAGTGGGGGGTGATTCTCACTTTCTGTATGTCTCTGTCTCTCTGTGAGCACATGTTCCCTATAGCAAAAATCTCGCTCTAAAAAAGAAAGAAAGAAAAATATAATCTCACAGACATAATGTTGAGTGAAAGGAAACAGACGCAGGACAATATATATGTCTGATTCCACTAATATGAAACTCAAAAATAACCAAAACTAATTTGTCTTGGTGAAAGTAGTAATGGTTACCTTTGGAGGCTGCTGACTGGTATGGGGTGCCAAGGGTCTTCAGTGGTGCTGATGATGTTCTGTATTTTGATCAAGGTGGTGGTTACATGGTGGATACATGTATAGAGATATTTTGAGTTGTACCTTAAGATGTGTGCACTTTACTGTGTGTAAGTTATACTTCAATTTTTTAAAAAATGTAGCTAACAAATCTGATTGCTTCATGTATCGCTGATGAGCAGGTAAAGGATATATCAGAGCTCTGCAGTGTATTTCCTGGAAAAATAAAGCACACTTTTTATAATTCTAGAATTTTCTCTGGGAACCAGTGACCAGATGGCTCTCATAAATAATGCAACAAAATATGGTTAGGACTAGAAGAATTCATGATGTGTGATAAAAAAGAAAACAACCAATGAGCATATAGTATACCAATGAGCATATAGTATACTCTTTTAGACTTTGATTGCAATTTTCTGGAAGAGCCAGGATCACCAATAAATGCAGTAAGAATGGAATAAGTCCACGTTTTTCCCCACAAAGATGTATAACAGAGATACAAAAAAGAAATTATTAAATAAAATAAGAAAGAATGGAGGAGGAGACTTACTGGCTATGAAACTTTGAACAGTTCACAGACTTTCTAGACATTGGATATTTCCTCTATGAAGTGGAAAAATATTTTATCTGTTCAGGAGAGGAGACAGGATCAAGTGATCTCTTAAGACTCCTCCTTAAAGCTTTTGGCTTCTGGCCCAGCAGCTGTGGTGCAGCAGTAATGCAAGTGCCCTTCAAGGCTGCAGGTGTCCTACAGGGCCATAGATGTAAGGCAGATTCAGATCCCTTAGTTGGCCTGAAAAAGAAAAAAGAGAGTGAGCAATGAAGCACAATCCTGAGAAGCAGAAGGGCTGGTGAGAGAGGGGATCACAGTGACAAGACCTGTTGGTAGTGCTCTCTTCCCTTCCCCCACATGCTGTTATAAATTTATTTGCTTATGAAAATTGGAACTATAAAGAACAAACATAGTTAAAATTTTCACATTAGTAAAAGGAGGATGTAGAAATAGGGGCAGCCCTGTGGCCTAGTGGTTAAGACAGCTTGCTCCCCCATGGCTGGCCACACAGAATCCCATATCCAGTAGCTAGAAGATCACTCACGCATATGTGCCTGTGTGCCCAAATTCCGACAGAATGGAGAGGTGGAGGAGAAGGGACTGCCACGTGACCACACTCCATTGTGGCATACTTTCTCTCTCTCCCTCTGTCATCTTCTGGCAAGGGTGTGCACACCTCTGACAATCAAAAATACAAAATAAAATAAAATAAAATTTGTAACAATAAGTAACAGGTAGGAAGCCATGCCAAATAGTAAGGGATCTAGGCAGAAAATTCTTTTCAGGCACAGTGAGCTACCTGAAACTCCTTGCTGTTGTTCCCTGGATATTTTCCTAGACCTCATCAAGGAGTTTACCTAATAGTGCTTAAAAAAAGAGAGAGAGGGGCTGGCAGGTGGTGTGGTGGTTAAGGGCACTAGACTCCCATATGGCCGATCATGGTTTGAGACCTGGACCTGGTAGTTTGCTTTCTCACTTTCCTTCTCTCTCTCTCTCTCTCTCTGTGTGTGTGTGTGTGTGTATGTGTCTATCTCTCTGGTCAAATTTAAATAAATTAACAAATAAAGTTAAATAAAATAATTCTCTCTAAAAAAAAAGCGTGTCGTTTAAAATTTCAATCAAAGAAGGCATTGTACAGTAAGTTTTCCCCTCATAGGTTCACATTTTCAAGGAATAAATCCATTGCAGAAAATGGTATTTCATAAATGAATGAGCAGAGAAGGGGCACTAGTCTAAGTCTGACTCAAATGAAATCTTACAGCCAGGAGGAATCACATGGTGTCTTCCCTGCTCATAAGTGAGCAATGTCTCTACTTATCTAGAGAGGCAAGTGAAGCTTAGTGAGGCTAAATGACTTCCCTAAGGTCACATGTCTGGGAGGAGCCCAGGGCAAAGACAAAAAGCCAATTCTTGGGCGTGGAGCTGGTTGTATCCTCCCCAGCTCCATCCTACCCCTTAGGAGTCCTTCTGGATGGACTTCAACTCCTCTCAGTGGACGATGTCTGCTGTCCGTTTTTTTTTCTAGAGAGGGTCTTTGCGGCAGTCCTCCTGCATCAGCCTCCTGAGTAGCTGGGACCAGCTGGGACTACAGGTATGCTCCTCTGTGCCAGATTTTTAGGGTGGGTGGGAAAGGGTAACAGGGTCTATCAACTGTAGCTTCTGTGCTACCTCAGGCTGGCCCCTCCGTGTGTCTTAAAAGCAATTGAGAAAGTTGTTATGCTGTAATGATACACAGTGACTGAATGTAAAAAAAATCAAATTAAAAAAAAGAAAACCAGGGTCAACAGGTGGCACGGTGCTTGGGGCTCTGGACTCTCACATGGCTGAGCACAGTTCAATTCCCAGATCTGGCAGCTTGATTTCTCACATTCCCTCTCTTTCTCTCTCTCATTTCTCTCTGGTGAGCACACATGCCCTATAGTAAATTTAAAAAATAATAATAATTAATAATAGTAAATTAAATAAATAATTTTTAGAAAAGAAAACCATCATCTCAAAAGTGTTCTCCTGTGTATGTATTTATTACATATTAATGTATATATAAGTAAAGTTTATACACTATAATATATTTTAAAAAGAATTAATCTAAAGGAAAATAAAGTGGGAAGATAATGGAACTTGGAGTCAGAAGACTGAGCCCTTCTACTTATAAGTGACTTTGTGACCTTGATAAATCATTTAACTTCTCTGAGTCTCAGTTTACTCGTTTGAGATAGCAGCACCCTCTACTGTCACAGAAGCAAAGATTGATTGAAACAACCTATGATAAAGTGCTATGTGAATGGTAAATCCAAATATAGTTATTAAAATTTGTGTCAGGGTGGCATTGTAGTTAAGGCGACTGGATCCCACATGACTGACTCTACAATTCAAGTCCCGGACCTGGCAGCCTGAAAGACATGCTAGGTATATGTACATGCATGCTCAAAATCTCAAGAGGAGAATAGAAGAGAAGGGATTTTGGCATGACCATCCACCCAGGGGCTGATTTTTCACTTTCCCTTTGTCTCTCTTGGCTGAATGAATGCACTTGCCCTATAGCTAAAACAACAACAACAACAACAAAAACTAATTAAGGAACTAGAGATTATAAAACAATAATACCTGATAAAAATGCTCTGAGTTAATACATATCAATAGCAGGGCAACTGTTAGTGCACATAAAAATCAATGATCCTGTAACAGAAATGTCTTTTATCACAACAAGTATAATCATTCTTTTTTTTTTTTTTTTTTTTTTTAAGTTTTTGCCATAGGGTGTGTGTTCTTGCTGTGGAGACACAGAGACAGACAAAATGAGAAATCACCCACCAGGGTGGATGGCCACTCCGCACTCCCTTTTTTTTTGTCTCTTCTCAGGATTTTGGTCAAGCATACACACACACACACACACGCGTGTGCACACACACACACACACACAGATGGTGTGATTTTCCAAATGTCAGGTTCTGGATTTGAACTGTGGAGTTGGCCACATGAGAGTACAGTGCCTTAACCACTACACCACCTACTGGCCCCTAGCATAATCACTTTTAATAAGTTTCTAATACTTTCTGATGCGGTCCCCTGCCCCCTTTAAGAGTTATTTATTTGATTTTATTTATTTTAATCATTTTTTTAATTTGCTAAAGGGCATGTGCACTCACCAAAGAGAAAATGAGAAATTACCCCCCATAGGGAGGGCTGCGCCATAATAATTTCTCTTCCAACGTCCCTCAGGATTTTGAGTGCACACACACACACACACACACAAGCCTAGGGTGATTTTAAAGCTGCCAGGTCTGAGACTTGAACCATTCAATTGGCCATCTGGAATCCAGCCTCTCCAACTACCATACCACCTGCTGACCTGATGTTGGCTCTAAAAAGAACCTTGATGTGAGGAAAAATGTCCCTGTTTTCCTCCATATATATCTCTTAACATTTTTTTTTTAAAGAGAGATTTTTTGCTATAGGGCATGTGTGCTCTCTGGAGAGACAGAGAGACAGTGAGAAATCGCCCCCCTAGGAGGGATGGCCACTCCACAATCCCTTCTCCTCTGTTCTCCTCTTGGGATCTTGGGCACATATGCACATGTGCCTGGCATGAGTTTAAAGCCGCCAGAACCAGGACTCAAACCATGGTTGACTACATGGGAGTCCAGCGACATAACCATTATGCCATCCGCTGGTCCCTCTCTTAACATTTTTGAACCCATCCTCCTCCCTATCCCCCTCCATGATCTATCTCTTTAACATTTGTGAACCCACTGGATAAATATGGTGTCCTATTAAATCTCATTTTCATTTTCCTGATTTTAAGTGAGACTTGGCATTGTTTCATCTTTTTATTGGATGTATAAGTAGATAAAACTTTATGGAAGGTTGATGGACAGTACCAAGTCCAATTTTAAGTGCACATACTGTTCAAACTAGATGTTCTATCTTTCAGTAACTCCCTTAGAGAAACAATACTCACATATATGCAGACAGAAGCATGCATGCTCTTTTTCATTGCACCATTGTCTGAAATAGCATATACCTAAAAACAACCTAAATAACCATCACCAAGGGTACTGGTCAGATAGACTGAAATAGCCAACGCTTGGAAAACTATTGAAAAATAGTGGAGTTTCAGCATGGCAAAAAAGCAAATGGTAGAACACATCACACCATTTGTTTAAAAAGGAAAAACAAAATGATGTATTTCTATATGCATGTAAATGATAAGCAAATGTGTTGAGGGTTACCTAAACTGAAGAGAGGTTACTGAGGGGAAGGTAACCATAGGGGAACTTTTGCATCCTCTGTATTATTTGAATATTTAAAACAAGATTGTATTTGTATATTATTGGCTAACTAATAAAAAACATATCGTTAAAAATAAGTTATACCAGGACCAGCAGTTAGTGTAATGGCTATGTCGCTGGACTCCCCCGTCGTCGACCGCGGTTCAAGTCCTGGACCCAGTGGCTTAAACTCACGCCAGGCGCATGTGCGTGCGTGCCCAAGATCCCGAGAGGAGAATGGAGGATGAAGGGACTGCGGCGTGGCCATCCCCCCTGGGGGGTGATTTCTCGCTTTCTATCTCTCTGTCTCTCTCTGTCTTTCTGGCGAGTGCACGCACCCTATAGCGAAAACCTCCCCCGCCCCAATAAAATAAAAAGTTATACCAAACACAAAACTATAAAACTTAAAAGAGATATGGCGGACTGGCAGGTGGTGTAGTGGATAAGAATGCCGCATTCCCACATGGCCAATGGCGGTTCGGGTCCCAGACCTGGCCGCTTGTTTTCTCACCCACCGCCCACCCCACTCTCTCTCTCTCTCACTCTGTCCCTCTCTGGTCAAATTAAAAACAAACAAACAAACAAATAAATAAAGTTAAATAAAGTAATTCTAAAATAATTTTTAAAAATAAATAAATAAAAGAGAGATGGGCCAGTAGGTGGTGTGGAGCTTAAAGCACCACATGGTTGTCTCCACCGTTCAAGTCTTGGACTTGACAGCTTGAAAATCATGCCCAGTTCCTGTGTGTGTGCATGCTCAAAATCCCAAGAGGAGACTAAAGGAGAAGGGATTGCATTGTGGCCATCCCCCAGGGGGATGATTTCTCACTCTCTCTCTCTGTTGAGTGCATGCACCCTATAGCAAAAACACCAAAAACAAAAACAAAAAACAAAAAACAAAAAAAAACAAAAAAAAAACACAAGAGAATATTATTTCATATTAAGAATAATTTTTGTGTTATAGAAATGTCTTCTATTTTCTAGATAGAGTTGCAAGATAAGAATCAATCAAATCAACGCTGAATAATACCTGTCATTCAAGTGAAGAATAAAAAATGTGGTCAAAAATTGAAATACTTCAAATATCTAGATATCTGATGGCATGGAGAAGTTAACTGATTTTTCTTTCATTTTTATTTGTCCAGATATGAAATGGACACCGATTGAGATTTACCTTTCATGTCACTGGTTTTAATTTATTTACACAAGTGTGTTCTTTAGTAAGTGTACTGCCCTTTATTGATCCTTTATCCTTTATGTTGAGCAGAATCCATTTTGGTGAGTTGGATTATCCTTCATGGCATTGGCTTTTTATCCCCAATTACAAAACTATCCTATGCATAATGTAGAAAAATAAAAGAAAAACACGGAAAACTATAAAGAAAAAAAAAATGTAACACCATCATCAAAAGTAAATACTGAGACCAGCAGTTGGTGTAATGGTATGTCACTAGACTCCCATGTATTTGACCACAGTTCAAGTCCCAGATCTGGTGGCTTAAACTCATGCCAGGCACATGTACGTGCCTAAGATCCCGAGAGGAGAATGGAGGAGAAGGGATTGCAGTGTGACCCTCGCCCCTGGGGGGGTGATTTCTCACTTTCTGTCTCTCTGTCTCTGTCTGTCTCTCTGGCGAGTGCACGCGCCCTATAGCAAAAACCTCTCTCCTCCCCCTCAAAAAAGGCAAATACTGTAGTAAATGCTTTTAGGTATTTTTTTTCCCCTTCCATATATATAGGTGTTCACAGAATTAAGTTAACTGTACATACATTTTTATGTCCTTGTTTTTTGGTTTTTGTTTTTAGCTTTCTCTATAGGATGTCTGCCCTTACTAGAGAGAGATGGGGGGGGATGAGAAATCACCCCCCCAGAGGAATTAGCCATGCCACAATCCCTCTTTCTCCATTCTCCTCTCAGGATTCTGAGCACACATGCACATGTACCTGGCATATTATGTTTTTCTTTTTTTTATTCTGAAAAATTATTTTAAAATTAATTAATTTACATTCATATTTCTGACCCTCTGCCCTTTCCCATCCTCCTCCCACACTATCTCTGGTGTCTACAGTTGTTTTCATTCCTTTTTCCCCCTATATTTTATTGATCACACATGTTTTTCAAGCCATCAGGTACAGCACTCAAACCATGCAGTTGGCAATGTGGAACCCAGCCACCTTAATCTCTGCCACCGACTGGCCCAACTCCTTGTTTGTAAGAGTTTTTTTGCCTTAGGGTATGTGTGCTTGCTGGAGAGAGAGACACAGACACAGTGAAAGGGAAAGTGAGAAACTACCCCCCAGCAGGGATAGCCACACTGCAATCCCTTCTCCTCCATTCTCCTCTTGGGATTTTGGACACACACACACACACACACACACACACACATGCACCTAGCGTGAGTTTCAAGCCTCTGGGAATGGGATTTGAACTGTGGTCAGCTATGTGGGAGCCATGCAACCTAACTGCTACACCATCTGCTGGCCCCAGTCCTTGTTTTTTTTCAGTTAACATTTTATTGTAAGCATTACTACATATCATCACAGATTCTTCAAAAATGTTTATAACAGCATATGGTATGTTAAAATATGGATAAACCATTGTTATCATTTGGATAATGGTTTGTCCTCCTGAGAGGTCCATGTTTTCGAATTCCATCTTTGTGGGCAGTGATTGGATGTCCCCTAAAAGTTTCTGAGTTGGGACTTGGTTATACTGTAGGTGAAAACTTAATCCCTTCATGGTGTCCCAGGGTGGGGCTTTTGGGTGTGATAAAGTTTTTAGGAAGGGAGCTATGACTGACTTCTGGTGTGTAGATAAGGAAAGGAAATGAGGCTGGCAGAGACCACTTGCTATAAACCACATTCCACTCTGCTCTAAGTTCTGCCTCCCACTGTTTTGTAATGCTTCAGGACTTTCCAGCCACTGGATCTGTGAATCAATAAACCATTCTTTCTTTAAAAATTATTCTGGCTCATGTATTTCTGTTAGCAATCCAGTAACAGACAAAAAATAACCCCTAATTTATATATTCTATTATAGAACATTCAGCCTTTTTTCATTTTTTACACTGTTCTACTTACCTTGGTGGAGAACATTCCTTACATGTAATTCTTTGCCTCCATTTTTGATAATACCCTAGCATATATTCTTAGGAAGGGAGTTGTAGGATTACGTTGGTTATTTCCCATCCCTAACATCCCTAACCACCCCCTTTCTCTTCCCTTCTTCGTTCTGCTTGTTGTCTTTATAGATGACACCTCCAAGACCCCATGTCTTTTGGCTTTCTTAGGTTTCAGTCAGTAAGTGGCAGATCAGTGTGCTGGAAGAGAGAGAAGTCAGGGTATATCCTCCTTCCTCTTCCGGCTTTGAGGCAGAAGCTGCATGCCCCTCCCCACCCCTGACCCCAGGCTCCTTTACTGGTGATCCCTCCTCCACCATTCCAGCTTTCACTTGATTCCATAAAATTATGTCCTCTCTTTGTCCCTTTAGCCTTAGGAGTGGAAACTGTCCCATGGTTCTTCTCCAGATGCCTCAACATCCCTTGTGTACTCCCATAACCCAGCCTACCCACTTGTAAGTCATTATTTTATGAAAGTCTTTTCATTTGAACCATCCTGGGTAAAATTTGTGTCCTTTTTGGACCCTGACAGACACAGGGTTGAAGAGTATAAACTTTTTTTTTTTAATCTGCTAGAAAATGCATGTGCTTGCCAATGAGAGAGTGAGGGGTGGCAGAGGGAGAAAGAAAAAGCCATTCCCCCATGAGGAATGGTTCACACCGCAATCCCTTCTTCTTCATTTCTACATCCTTTTAGGATTTGGGGCACACATGTACATATACCCAGAATGTTTTTCAGCTACTGAGTCTAAGACTTGAACCACATGGTCAGCCACATAGAATCCAGCTCTTCTAACCAAGAGACCACAAGCTGGCCAAGAGTATACATTTTTTTTTTTTGAGAAGTTTTTGCTACAGGGCGCATGCGCTCATCAGAGAGACAGAGAAAGAGACAGAGAGACAGAAAGTGAGAAATCACCCCTCAGGGGGGATGGCCATGCCACAATCCCCTCTCCTCCATCCTCCTCTCGGGATCTTAAAATACATTTAAAAATTCTTTGGGGTCAGCAGATGGCATGGTGGTTAATGCTTTGGACTCCCACATAGGAGACTCTGCCATTCGATCCCCGGACCCAGCTGCTAGAAAAACATTCCTGGTACATGTGCATGTATACCCAAGATCCTAAGGAAAATGAAAGAGAAGAGATTGTGGTGTGGCCATCCTTCCTGGAGGAGTGTGTGTGATTTCTCACTTTCCTGTCTCTCTCTGGCAAGTGCATGTACCCTATGTCAAAAATAAATAAATAAATAAATAAATAAATAAATAAAACTATCTTAATAGATATTGCCAAATTGCATTGCAGAAAGGTCACATCAATTTATACTTCCATTAGTATAGTATGAAAGCCTGATGAGATAGGCTCCTAAAGCTGCAATAGATTTTTAAAGATATCCAGTCTCCCATTCGTTATTTGTGCTTTCCTCTCTGAGGTCACCCTCTGACAAAGTGTTCTGCCATAGGCCATCTACAAAAAAGTCATGCATAACACGAAAATACTGAGATAAGCAGTTGTGTATCAGTTGTAAACCTGAAATTCACAGTACAGGAAGAGACCCTGGATTGTATTGTGACAATGGCTCCTTTGCCTGACCTCTGTGTACAAGGAAGAGCATATTCTGCCCGGCTCTCCGGTAATATACTGTGGTTGGGGATATCAGCTCCCAGGCAGTCCACAGTTGAATATTAGCTCAGGAAACCAGTGGGGCCACGTGCCCTTATGATCTTAGTACTCAAGCTTTGGGAGAATTCTTACTTTATTTTCCTTTCTTTTTTTAAAAAAATATTTATTATCATTATTTTTCAATTTTGACTAGATAAGAGACAGAGAGAAAGAGAAGAGAGTGATAGAGAGCAAGCTACCAGGTCCAGGATTCGAACTGCGGTCGACCATGTGGTAATCCAGCGCCCTTAACCACCATGTCACTTGCCGGTCCCCTTACTTTATTTTTCTAGCCTTGGCTTTCTTAAAACTGTTTGTAGGTACATGGATTGAAAGGAGAAAGAATCCACAAAGACATATCCTTTATTTCTTCTCAGATAAGCGGCAACTACAGACGTTTAACACAGAGGATGCTAGAATGAGGCTGAGGTTTTAAGCTGAATGAGTTGGATGTTTACTCTCCAGCTGACTGATGACACAGGTGTTAACACTGTGTTTTTTATTTTCTTGTAAAATAACGAGACACCTAGTGGGCGCAACATGAAAATGCCTTTATTAGACATGGCGAGTTAGTCAATATCCAGCAAATGATATTCAGTAACTACCTCAAAGTTTACTTCTATACTAGTAGTCTTATTATAGAGATCCCAGAAGGCCAGCAGGTGGCACGCAGGTTAAGGCAACACCTACATGGCCAACTGGAACCCACATGGCCAACTGGGCAGTTCACGTCCCAGACTCAGTGGCTTGAGAAACATGCTGGGCGCATGTGCATGTGTGCCCAGATTCCTGAGAGGAGAGTAGAGGAGAAAGGATTCCGATGTGGCCAGCCCCCTCCTGACGGGTGATTTCTTACTTTCCTTCTCTCTCTGGTGAGACCTCACACCCTACAGTAAACTTTAAAAAAAAAAAAGAGAAATTCCAGAGCCAGGAATCAGACCAACCATTGACTCATGCTGAGTAACTAAGATATATTATTACCATATACTTTATAGCACTCACTAGTTTCCAGAGTCCTTTGAACACAAGGTTTCTTTCCATAAATGTAAATACATTAGTGTCCTCCACCAGACAATGGGCTTTCGGAAGGAAGAGGCCACACGGCACAAGCTGAGTGACTAGCAGATAAGGAATAGGTGCTCAGTGAAAGTTGATGAACTGAACTGATCTGAACAACTACTCCCAAAGGTGGAGTAGCTTCTGATTTTTTTTTTTTCTTTCCTAGGTGAGGAAATAAAAGATCAAAGAGTAGAAAGAGTTGCCCTCCAGTTACGTAAGTCTAAGTGCAAACCATGAATTGCACCCTGGATTCTTGCCCATGCCCGGACAGACCAGCGAGAAAGCGCCCTTGCTCACATAAATGCCTACTGGTTTCTCTCCTATTTTGAGTTAGCAGCACCCATCCTTTTTTTCTTTTCTTTTGCTTTCTTTTTTCTTTTCTCTTTTCTTTTCTTTTCTTTTCTTTTTTTCTCTCCTTTTCTCTCCTTTCCTTTTCCTTTTCCTTTTCCCTCTTCTTTTCTTTTCTTTTCTTTTCTTTTCTTTTCTTTTCTTTTCTTTTCTTTTCTTTTCTTTTTTTAATTTTGCCAAAGAGCATGTCCGGTTACCAGAGAGAGATTGGGCAGTTGGGGAAATGGGGAGAAAGTAAGAAATCACCCCTATGGACATGTTGCATTTCTCCCTTTTGTGGAATTTTGGGCACATGTACACATGCCCAGTATGTTTTTCAAACTTTGGGGCCAGGACTTGAACCAAACAGTTAGCCATGCGGGGTCCTGGTGCCTTAACCACCAGTCCACAGGCTGATGGCACAGGCTATAGGGCGTGTGCGCTGGCCAGATAGAGAGACAGAGACAGAGAGACAGAAAGCGAGAAATCACCCCCAAGGAGGATGGCCACACCGCAATCCCTTCTCTTCCATCCTCCTCTCGGGATCTTGGGCATGCACGCACACGCACCCAGCGTGAGTTTAAGCCACTAGGTCCAGGACTCCAATCACGGTTGGCTGTGTGGGAGTCCAGCAACATAGCCATTACACTATCTGCTGGTCCCAAGACAACAGTCACTTTCACTCCGTTGCTGGGGTCCCTCTTGGAAAGTCAGTATTGTCTAAGTCTCAGGAGTAGTCAATCTATGACCTAAATGAGGCTCCAGCAGTAGGCTTTCTTCAATGGATCTTCCATGTTAGAGTACTGCCTATCATACCGTTTTCATCTCATGACAGGGCTATGCACTTCTATCTTCATGGATCATTTGCCTAATTAAATACCTAGCTAGCAGATGGAGTAACATGCTTATGTTACTAAGGTTTAGTCAAGGGTCTTACGGGACCCAAGGTATCTCAGGCCAGATTTTGCCATTGGAAACCATGTGATAAAGTCCTCATCTCACAACATTTAAAAGAGTAACAAATCCTGGGAGGTTAACTGAGCCAGTGTTTCTCAAACATTGGGCCTTGGGAGTTCCTGTGATGAATTCTTGGGGTCTAGTAGTTATCTACAAATTTCTGTAAGTTTAGATTTCTTTCTTTGTGCATCTATAGTAACACAAACATCTCCTGGGCCACCTGGCTAAGCTGCCCTACAAGCGGGTCGTGACATAAGCATTCATAGCTCTACCCAAAATATTTGATGTCCTGTACCCAGTAATCAAGTGAAATAATGCTCTCATGTCTCTCTCTTTCTTTTTACTTAGATATAATTTGCCATAAAATTCATTCTTTTAAAATGTATTATTCAGGACCAGCCCCATAGCCTGGTGGTTAAGAGAAGCTGGATCCCAAGTGACCAACCGCGGTTTGAATCCCAGCCCCAGGAGCTTGAAAAACATATTGGGTACATGTGTGTGCCCCAAATCCTAATGGGATGGGGAAATGGAAGAAAAGGAATTAGAGTGTGACCATGCCCCATGAGATGTGCTTTCTCACTCTCCCTCTCTCTTTCTCTCTGTGGTGAACACATGTGCCCTCTGGTAACTTAAAAATAAAAAGTCTCATTTAGTGGATTTTAGTACATTCACAGAGTTGTAGAACCATCACCCCCTCCAAAATTCCCTGTCCCCAGTAGCAGTCACTACCCATTTCCTTCTTCCCCTCAGCTCCTGGCAATCACCAATCTATTTATGTCTCTTTAGTTTGCCTATTCTGATCATTTTATATAAATGGAACCATGTGACATGTGGCCTTTTGTGCCTGGCTTCTATTGTATGTCATGTTTTGAGGTTCATTCATGTCATCGCATGAATCACGCCATTCCTTTTTGCGGCCAAATACTTTCCCTTTGTATCACATTGTTTATCTGTTCGGCAGTGGTGAACATTTGGTTTGTTTCCACTTTCTGGCCATTCTAAAAAATGCTTTTGTGAGAAAACTCTCATTCCAAGTTATAAAAACGGGATCTACCAGACTTCAGACATGTTTTTGAGTTCCTAGCTTCTCCAGTTTGAAAACTACCACTGGGCCGAGTTCATGACTGAATGAATTGATCAGTCCCATTCACAGAGCGAATGGGGCCTGTGTGATTAGCATGTGGCATGAGCTTGTTATCTTTCTTATCTATAAAGCATGGATATCTTGGTTTCAGGCCATCCCAAGTTATCTGCTCAGTTCTCTAATGGAGAGAGTCACCATTAGTGGTGTGGTTAGAACTTAACTAAACACTTAACTAATAACACTGATGTATGGTGATTTAGCCCAGATGCTGGGCAGCTTTTAATTCTCCAAACTCCTGGCCTGAATACTGGTAATATTTCCTTGGGCTAAAAGCCAGCAAAAAGAACCACCTGGCCAAATATCCCCAGTCAGCCTGCTTTCCTTAGAATGGCCTCCCAGGGGAGTTCTCTGGACAAACAAAGCTGTTAACCCAGTTTGAAGGCCTGGAAAATTATCATGTGAGTCACTGGGACAACAGAGCAAAGTGCTAGGCCCCTGAGAAACGACAGGCATAGGTTTCCAGTGTCATTTGTGTCCCCATAGGGTGGGACTAGGAGTCCCAGGGCAGCCTGCCACTTTTCACCCAGCTGCTCTTCCCAGCAGTTTCCAGGTTTCCAAGCTCCTTGGCCCTGTGTATGGAGCTGCAGGGGCCCATTCCTGTTTTTTTTCCCCAGTAAGTTCTGCAAGCAGCAGTCCTGAGAGTGACAGCTCAGTTGGAGGAAACCAAAACAGACCTGGATACTTAGAGGAGGACGTGTAGTGTTGGTTGGAGCAAGGCCATAGGCTCTTTCTGGGAAGGAAGAGCTGAAGCAGCTACAGAAATTTCAAACCAAAGACCAGAAATCTAGAAGCAGTATTTAAAAATAATACTTCCATGAGTGAGCTGGGCCTTGCAACAAAGCACCTGCAAATTACTTAAGACGTGTTTTATAATGTTCTGAAAATACTACTTCCTAAATTTCACAAAGATCTGGCGAACTTAGCCAGAAAAGTAATGCAGGTAACCCTGTGGTTGAGTTTCGATGGGGTGGACAGGTGCGGCCTACATGTCAGAAAGATGTTGAGAGCTCCCTGGGTTCTCTAATTAGACTCTCCCACGGGCATGCTGGACTCTGAGGGAGGCTGGGTACCAAGGTGGAGACTTCTAAATGACTTCATCTAGACCTTTGCTATCTGTTTGCCTATATTTTCATGCCTATAATTATTTAATTGCCTTCTTTTATTGCCTGTAAATAAGAGCTCTGTCATCTGAGAAAATTCAGAAAAACCAGGACCACATGAGGACAAAGGAGTAGATATTGAGAACAGAAAGGAGAAAGATTACCCACACCTCCTCTGCATTTATTTTTTTTAGAAATTCCTGACTCTAGGCTGGCTTTGTGGCATAGTGGTCAAGTCAGCTGGATCTCACATGACCGACCACGCAGCTTGAGTTCAGGACCCAGCAGCTTGAGAAGCATGTCCAGGGTGTGTACATGCATGCTCAAAATCCTGCAAGGAGGGAGAAATAGAAGAGAAGGGATTGTGGCATGGCTATTCCCCATGGGGGTAGTGCTTTCTCCTCTCTCTCTGTCTCTCTCTCTCTGTCTCTCTCTGTAAGCATATGCACCCCTTAGCCAAAAAATAAAAGAAAAAGAAATATTTTATTGCAACACAATTCTAGGGTCTTCATTGTCAAGAGGATGTAATTACATGATTTGATCCAGGATCCTGTCTATTCATGTTTGATGAGTGCTTTAAAAGAGTGAGTGATTAGGGGACCAGCAGTTAGCATAATGGCTATGTCGCTGGACTCCCATGTAGTCGACTGTGGTTTGCATCCTGGACCCGGTGGCTTAAAACTCACACCGGGTGTGTGTGCGTGTGTACCCAAGATCCCGAGAGGAGAATGGAGGAGAAGGGATTGCGGCGTGGCCATCCCCCTGGGGGGTGATTTCTTGCTTTCTGTCTCTATGTCTCTCTCTGTCTGTCTGGCGAGCGCACGCACCCTATAGCAAAAAAAAAAAAAAAAAAGAAAAAGAGTGAGTGATTAGTAAATTCCTCCCTGTAGAAATGACAAATGAAGCTCTCTCCTTCATGGCATTGAAAGATAAACTTGTGCCTCGAACTAGAAGACGACAAATACATGACCAAGTGTTTGGTGCCTTTAACACCGCCACTCTCATCTGCTCACTTCACTTCTTACTTTTTCCATTTCTCTCTCCCACTTCGGTCTCCTTCTGACAGATCTGGTGAAAAAGCAGCAGATTTGAAGAAACAGGGCGTTTGCTTCCCACCCTGCTGCTGTCGTTGCAGATTGCTTCAGAGCTGCTGTCTCCTGGGAGCGGGCAAAGTGCCAGTATCAATCTTTGTCATCACAGTCCTAGTGTGTGACCTACATGCTAGTCCCCTGCAGAGCCAAGGAACCAGTCACAGGTGGGCACCTAGGTGGAAGACCGAAGGAGGACTAGAGAAGATATTCAAGAATCAGACTAGAAAGGTAACGAGAGGCAGAGTCAAGTAAAAGCAAGCGTCCGTGTCAGTGCTTCCCAGTGCGCACAGTAGCGTGCAGCAGTGCTGCCCCCTAGAGGTGCTGGACACTGGCACTGTCTCACACAGTAGCCACGTGTGGCTGTTGAGCACTCGAAGTGTGGCTAATGACATTTTTATACTGTTTATTTGCTTACTTATTTTAGATTTTTGCCATTGGGCATGTGCTCTGGCCAGAGAGAGACAGAGACAGAGAGGGAGGGAGAAAAAGTGAGAAATCACCCCCCGGTGGTGGGGGGAGGGAATGGCCATACTACTCTCCCGTCTCTGTTCTTTTCTTGGGATTTTGGCACACATGCCTGGCATGTTTTTCAAGC